TTTGTCCCTTTTCATTTTAACATGCAATGTTGGTTGACCCTGAGATTTTTTAGTTAACGATATTCTACTTTAATCTAACATGACTTATTAGGAGGTGGCTTCAAACTCGTTTATTGAGCTTTCGAGTCATTCATATCTTAATCCATGTCAAAATGAGGAAGAGATTGACACCGAATCCAAAAATCTCTAGACTCTATTGTGGTACCAAATTATTTTACAAATATACAAGGATAGAACTATAACAATGATCAACCCTCTGGCTATATCATATTAACTCCCATTGCCATTTCCTTTTCTTCTTCTAGTCCCTCAATGTTCAAATCTGAACTGAAAGGTGTGGTTTTAAGAAGCTGAAGCAAGTTGGGGAAGGCTTTTGGGCTTGTAAAAGTTTACATGATATAAATTGAGGGCATGAATGAGTTGAAGGGCAATTGAAAAAGAATAAACATACAAACAATTTTTCTTATCTATGTACATTGTTAGTGTATATATATTTGGTTCATATTTTGTTGATATTTGATAAAATCGGTTAATATCGACCAAAGTATCTATAATGTTTCCCTTATTGTAGATTATTACTTGACACCAGCCAATCACTAGCCTACAACAATTTTTACGTTTAGAAGTTCTTTTTGGGTTCGTAAATACTTTATATATATGCTTGCACGCTCTTTTTGTCATCCTCTAGTATTTTTATTGTACATAGAAAAAGGAAAAACAAAACCAATCCCACACCCCTAGTTAATATCTGTCATTTGATCTTCTTTAATTCATCCGATCCGATGGCCGAAAATTAAAAATGTGTGAGAGAAGTAAAAAGGGGTGTGTGAATATCACACCCCTATATATAATATGCATGTATAGAAGATTTCTTATGCATGTTAATTTGAGTTCCATTAATGAGTTTATAAGCAGCTTTTTTACAAGTCAAAGTACGTACTGTGTATTCGGGTTACAGATGCATATGTGGGGCCACGGATCTGAATATAGAAAAGGGCCAGATTCTCTAAAAGGAACACAACCAGCCGCAATGCTGAGGCTACCATGCTACTGTTGTGCTCAAGGCTGCAAGAACAACATCAACCACCCAAGAGCCAAGCCACTCAAAGACTTCAGAACTCTCCAGACTCATTACAAGAGAAAGCACGGAGCAAAGCCATTCATGTGTAGAAAATGTGCCAAAACATTTGCAGTTAAAGGAGACTGGAGAACCCATGAAAAGAACTGTGGCAAGCTGTGGTATTGCACTTGTGGATCGGATTTTAAACACAAAAGATCACTCAAGGACCATATTAGATCATTTGGTAAGGGGCATTCTCCACACCCTTCTCTTGATGGTTTTCACGAGGATGAGAAGGAATGTGTAACTGGTTCGGAAGAGGAATGAGTTTTTATCCAAACTAGCCAAAGTAATTTGCCCCTTTTTCTGAAAAAAATAAAATAAAAGATTTGTTCCTATCTCACATGTCACATTACAAGTAACAAAATGTGTGAGAGAAGAACAACTAGGAACGAGGGGTAAACTTCTGCTAGTTTTGATAAAAACTCAAGGTGTGGACATTATGGAGCTTAATATATCTTTCTTTTGGGTTTACGATTTCAAACTATCGAAGCTCAGAGAATGAAGGTAATTAATTAGGAGGGTACGTACTATATATATCCAAGCTAGTGCTCTGTAACAAAAAATTCTCAGCAGCTTGCACACCATGCACCGGGAGCGGTTTGCTACGGAGCACTTGCTGTGTGATAGGGAGTAGTTAATAACTCTAAGCAGTTTGCTTAGTGGTTTAAATATAAATAAGTAGTTGATGATTACTTGAAGCGATGAACCGGATGAATTTCTTTCTCCTATCAACACATGGTAGGTATCATGAAGTTACAATCTTTTGTAGCATCTCCCCATGGAGAAAATTTATCAGCTTCATTGTCAACTGGTAATCTATTACATGATTGTTGTATTATCAAATTGAAATGTTTGGAATCTGGATAATCTCCTCTCTCTCTCTCTCTCTCTCTCTCTCTCTCTCTCTCTCTCTCTCTCTCCCTGCACTATTTATTTTATTTTTTCTTTATTAATGATAAACATTTCATGCTAAAGAGAATGAAATCTTTGACTTTTCTCTAACGTGTGATGATCTTAATATCTACTTATGACTAAAATAAGAGTACGTAAGGGGTAGGGTACAAATATGAGGAAAAGGATCCTCGCCGGATCATTTTTCTGGGGATCCTAGGAATCCTGTGATCGTGATCGTTTATCGTACATTCTGCGGTCAGTTTTTGTTAAATACTATTTATATTTAATTTTAAATTTTAAATTTTGAAATAATTTCTGACCACATGATATACGATGAACAGTCACGACCACGGGATCCCTAGGATCCCCACGAAAAGGATCCAACGAGGATCCTTTTCCCAAATATGAAGTAAAAAAAACCTCTCTCGGCACACAATTTAAAATTTTAAAATTTTAAAATTTAAAATTAAATATAAATAGTATCTAACAAAAATTGACCGCATAATGTACAATAAACGGTCACAATCACGGGATTCCTAGGATCCCCAGAAAAATGATCCAACGAGAATCCTTTTCCCAAATATGAAGTAAAAAAAAAACGAAGGAAGGATAATTAATTAACTAATATGGATCGCTTTTTGGCTAATTCCATGATAATCCTTAATGGCTTGCTTTCATAAATTAATAGCTAGAGAACAGTACTGCCATTTGTTGTTTAAAATAAAGGGGGAGATGCATGTAGTTTCATCTACTTTCTCTGCTTTGGTTGGCAGCATAACTACAGAAGATGCATGTACGTAGCTGTGATAACGTTAAATCATTACCAATATGCTTCAACATAAAATAGTTTTTTTTTTTAATTCATTATTTCCAATTTTTCAGTGGCAAGGTGGACATCCAGTGTGAGTCCAATTTGGGGGCCAATACCTAATCACCCATCGAGGTTATAACATCAATTATATAATGATTGGGTGTTGATTTGTTGAGATGGATATACGTAGAAAAACTTTAATCTTACCTTGAGCATTTTCATCCTTTAGTTATTAAAATTTAAATTAATACCCAAAAAGTAAACAAAAAACCGAAATGTGTTTGTGTGAAAGGGAGATTTGGCACAGACTTTTTATAAAGAAGACGCACAAAAAAGAGTGATGGAGAGAAAAAGGCGCTTAAAAGATGTTGAAATTTGGTTTCTTGTGAAGTTGGCTTGACCAGGTAAACAAAAAAAGAATAGGAGAAATGTGAAATGGTGTTTGATTTTTTAAGATAATTAGGGTCCTCCACCATATTTTGTCGGGTGAGAGAAAAACTTGAGAGGAAGTGAAAAACTACTCCTTTTTGTCAATACGTTAGGTGTTCTGAGGGGAGGGAGGGCAAAGGGGTTGGGGGAACTTCGAATGGGTGAGAGAAAAACTTGAGAGGAAGTGAAAAACTACCCGTTTTTGTCAATACATTAGGTGTTCTGAGGGGAGGGAGGGCAAAGGGGGTGGGGGAACTTCGAATCCTGGGTGCTTAATTTCTGTTATAGCACAAGTCCTCTTCAACAACCACCCATTTTGTTTGTACATATTTTTTTAGCTATGTCCTTTCACATTCAACCATACATGTCATATATGTATACTTGCATGCACCAAAATTGGACCACTTTCAAGGATAAGTCTTCTTGGTGATGCTTTACACTTACCCTCTTAGACCGCTTAGCCTGATGTCCAATAAAGGGCCGCCAATTAGCTGAGACCAAGGCTTACTTTCTGTTCATCTTTATCCTTGCCTTAAGAATGAAAGCAAAGCCTCGAAATGTAATCACATAATCTATGGTAGCAAGCTAGGGTCAGTTAGTTAAATTGGGGTTAAGGGGTGTATGGGAGTTAAATCATATTCTATAGTACTCTGAGCCAAGTGAAATAAGCATGGTGTGAAACATATAGGCTTGATGCTCTAGGTATGTGTTAGCATAATTAGAAGGGGATGAGTTCATTTTTTCATCTCATCAGCATCGATTTAACTTATTGTATTGTTCAATGCATAACACTTTGATTAATCGTAATAATTGAACTTGAGGGTTGTACATTTCTCCATGGGCATAAAATGCTCACCCATATTAAATGTCGCATGTACCTTTACACATTTTGAGGAAGACAACGTCGCACTAGACGCCTATATTAATAACTTGTGTTCCTGATGCATAATCTTATTAAGGAACAAATGTTGGATGTCCTAAGAAGTGAGTTGGGTTAAACCGAATCATCCTTAACTCTAATATGACTCGATTTTTTATTAAGCTGACAATTGTAATAACTCTTTTTGTCTGATAACGTTAAGGTGAAATTATACATTAAAAACTTTCACTATGAAAAGAAAATCTAAAGGTAAATGTTAGGGAAACCAATATTTTAAAACACATTTTGCATAATAAATGATGTGGTTGTTGATTATTGGATTATTATATTTAAGTGTTGATTAACGTGCTTATTTCTTATTAGTGACACATCATTTGATTTGCAAATTTAATTTCAAAAATTTGATCTACTTAACATTACTCAAATTTAAAATACAAAACTAGAAGGAAAAAAGAACTATACATTAGTTGTGTCATTTTGCACATTTAAGTTATGTTTTAAGAGTTGAGCGTCATACCCATCATGAAAACTATACATTTGTTGTAAAGCCTTTTTTTTTTTTTTTTTGAACAAACGATTAAGAGAGAGAGATAATAGGCTTAGATTCACAATGAGCTAGCAATAATGTGGTTCAAATTCAACTTTGCAAAAATCGAATCTAATACCTCTCACTTACAAGTGAAAAAAAATATCACTAGACCGTAGTACTAAGTTGTTTGGTGTAAATACTATTAATTGTGTGGTTGTCCACTTTAGATCAGCATGTAATTAATTAGTTAGTATATTTTATATATAAATTCTAAACCTTTAAACAGGCACTCTAATAACTACTTCTCCTCACAATCTCTCTCTTGTCTCAATTTATGTCTTACTCTTTATTTTATTTCAAACACGCTATATTCAAACACGAAAGTGGCTTCGATCTGGGTGTTCGGGTGGTAACCGACGACGTTTTGTTAGACCCAGTTGGTGGCGTAAGACTGGGACTTGGCGACGGTGGAGAGGAACTCGCTGGGGAGGTCGACGGTGACTTTGATGTCAAATTCAAAAAGTCCTGGAACACGGCTAGGTTGGAGTTGAAGGCCTTGACCTACTCGAAACCTTGGATTTTCAGATGTTGCACTACCTTGTGTGCCGATAGAGGTTTTCAAGTGAGAAAGAGGTAGAGGTATGACTGAACGGTGGGGCTAGAAAAGAGTGTGAGATAGGAGAAAGGGAGGTGGAGAGAATGGTTCCAATGTGGCAGCTAATAATTGGCCATTCAATGACAATTTAACTTAAAGGACCAAAAGCACTGCCACGTAAGCCAAGTTAAAAATCCTTAACAGAATAGGCGGAAACACGGCAAAGCAAATACAAAACGGTGTTTCAGGGGAAAGTGAGACAAACTGCATTTTAGGGGATAAACCGATAAAGTGACACTACGTAACAGTTTAAGGGGGTGTTGTTGTAAGCAGTGGGAATGTATGCCCGCATACCAACGGTAACTTTTTCACATGCCTAATAGTGTTGTTTTTGTTTGTTGTGTAGCAATCATCCATTTTCTTTAAACTAATCACGGATGTTATTGGATTGGTCACGGGTGTAATTTTCATTCACTGTAAATCTATTGATGTTGTTCTATAAATAGAGCACTCCGCAGATGATCAAGTGACAACAACTGAAAGAGAAAATAACTGAATGCAATAATATCAGTATCCCTCCATTTCTCTCTTTACCTATAATCCTTTTGTGTTACGAAACTAAACAGTATAATATTTTGCACCCGCTTCGCTCCTGTCTCTAGCAAAGATTATATCTCTAACTTTTGCCTATTTATAACGGGGTGTTTCAATATATAATCACTTTTATTTATTAAACAATGTCATTATGTTCCCTTCGATTTTGTTTTTTATTATATTTTTGAGTATTATTGTGAATTCTTATTTCAATATCCTTTGTCTGAGAAGCTATTTTTTTCTTTTATAAGTTGCATCGCACAATTTAAAGAAGTAGTGTACGCTTGTAATCAACTAGGGGCGTGTTTGTTTGACCTTCTTAGGGGGGACTGGACTAGACTACACTAATTGGTATTGTAGTCTGATGTTTGGTAGGGGCAAGGATTACGTTTAATGGGATTAGATCCGACTAGCACGGATTAAACCCTTCGCTAGCAGTTCTTAGCGAACCACCCCAAAAACGTCCGGATTCGTAAGACCTCCTCCCTCACGTCGTCCTCCTCATCCTCATCTCTGCGTCCTGCTCGCCGTCAGCTGCATCCTGGTCGCCCTCATCTGCATCCTGCTCCTCATCTGTTCCTCTCGTCGTCCGCTCCCTCGTCTTCACGTAACAGATCTGCTCCGAGAGTTCTCCAAGGACAGCATTCGCCTCGTCAAGCGCTGCCACAAGCCCGATCGCAAAGGTAATTCAGCATTCGGGTCGGATCTGTGTTTTCTCACAAGTTATATTCTTTGATATGCATGTGTAATTGATGAGATTTGATGGTTGATTGTCGTGTAGAATTCTCCAAGGTCGCGCTCCGGACAGCGATCGGGTTCGTCGTGATGGGTTTCGTCGGGTTCTTCGTCAAGCTGATCTTCATCCCCATCAACAATATCATCGTTGGATCTGTTTAGGTATTTATTGGATCTAATCAAATCCATTGATTGAAAATTATTGATGGAAATTGTGGAGATTTGATTGGTTTGCTTGATCGATGTATGATTTGATTAGGTTGTTTATTAGTTGGAATTCGGATTAATTTGATTTTGGTAATTGTTGTTTGTTTAATTTTATAAACGAATCAAAAGTTTCGATGAGGAATGTAGTGGTTGAGTTGCATATGTATACACACACACAGACGTTTGGTTTTTCTTCTATGCCAATATAGTTGAAATGGTTCTTTAATGTTGAGATTTTTATCAACTTTATGTTTAGATGTGTGCATCGCTCTTGGTTTTGAGTGTTTCATTCGGATTACGTTAATGGTTTGGAACGGATAGTCTGCATCGTGATATTTGGTAGAAATGGATGTGGTGAATCTGGTGATATGATCTAAATAGGGAGATCTTTCTTGAGGCACGATTGATTAGTTTGAGTTCTGGTTTTACTCTGTTGCTCTATTATTCTGCTTTATGTGTCTTAGGAAATTGATACCGAATCAAGGACGTTTAACAGAATATTGATTTATAAAATTGGTCCAAAGATCTTGTATCTTGAATTTATTCGATTCGTATGTAATAATATAAGATTACAGTGTCATTTGTGTACTGTGTGTGCAAGGTGTATACAGTGTGTGTTTGTGTACTGTGTATGCAGTGTGTATGTATGCAGGGTGTATGCAGGGTGTATGCAGTGTGTGTATGTATGTATGCACTGTGTGTGTATTGCAGGGTGTGTGTGTAGTGTATGCAGTGTGTGTGTGTAGTGTATGTAGTGTGTGTGTGTGTGTGTGTGTAGTGTATGTAGTGTGTGTATGTATGCAGTCTGTGTGTGTAGTGTATGTAGTGTGTGTGTAGTGTATGCAGTGTATGTAGTGTGTGTATGTATGTACTGTGTTTGCAGTGTGTATGTATGCAGGGTGTATGCAGTGTGTGTGTACTTGCAGGGTGTGTGTGTAGTGTATGCAGTGTGTGTGTGTAGTGTATGTAGTGTGTGTGTGTAGTGTACTGTGTTTGCAGTGTGTATGTATGCAGTGTGTGTGTAGTGTATGTATGCAGGGTGTAGTGTATGAAGTGTATGTAGTGTGTGTAGTGTACTGTGTTTGCAGTGTGTATGTATGCAGTGTGTGTGTGTGTAGTGTATGTAGTGAGTGTGAGTGAGTGTGAGTGTGAGTGTGTGTGCAGTGTGTGTGTGAATAAGTGTGTATGTGTGTAGTGTATGCAGTGTATGTAGTGTGTGTAGTGTACTGTGTTTGCAGTGTGTATGTATGCAGTGTGTGTGTGTAGTGTATGTAGTGAGTGTGAGTGAGTGTGAATGTGAGTGTGTGTGCAGTGTGTGTGTGTGCAGTGTGTAAGCAGTGTGTGTGTGTGCAGTGTGTGTGTGAATAAGTGTGTATGTGTGTAGTGTATGCAGTGTATGTAGTGTGTGTAGTGTACTGTGTTTGCAGTGTGTATGTATGCAGTGTGTGTGTGTAGTGTATGTAGTGAGTGTGAGTGAGTGTGAGTGTGTGTGTGTGTGTGCAGTGTGTGTGTGTGCAGTGTGTAAGCAGTGTGTGTGTGTGCAGTGTGTGTGTGAATAAATGTGTATGTGTGTAGTGTATGCAGTGTATGTAGTGTGTGTAGTGTACTGTGTTTGCAGTGTGTATGTATGCAGTGTGTGTGTGTAGTGTATGTAGTGAGTGTGAGTGAGTGTGAGTGTGAGTGTGATTGTGTGTGCAGTGTGTAAGCAGTGTGTGTGTGCAGTGTGTGTGTGAATGAGTGTGTATGCAGTGTGTGTGTGTGCAGTGTGTGTGTACTGTGTGTGCAAGGTGTATGCAGTGTGTATGTATGCAGGGTGTATGCAGGGTGTGTATGTATGTATGCACTGTGTGTGTACTTGCAGGGTGTGTGTGTAGTGTATGCAGTGTGTGTGTGTAGTGTATGTAGTGTGTGTGTGTTTGTGTACTGTGTGTGCAAGGTGTATACAGTGTGTATGTTTGTGTACTGTGTATGCAGTGTGTATGTATGCAGGGTGTATGCAGTGTGTGTATGTATGTATGCATTGTGTGTGTACTTGCAGGGTGTGTGTGTAGTGTATGTAGTGTGTGTGTGTAGTGTATGTGAGTGTGTGTATGTATGTACTGTGTTTGCAGTGTGTATGTATGCAGTGTGTGTGTGTAGTGTATGTAGTGTGTGTGTGTAGTGTATGCAGTGTATGTAGTGTGTGTATGTATGTACTGTGTTTGCAGTGTGTATGTATGTAGTGTGTATACAATGTGAATGTTTTGTATTGTGTGGGGTTGATGCTGAATTGCAATTTGTTGTGGTTGTTGGTTGCAGAGAAGAGGAGCATAAACGGAAGGCTAAGGCTAAGGCTACTGCATTACAGGTGTCCTTTAATTTCCCTTTTCACATGCAATGCCTAGCAATGATAGCAATCCTCATACTAGTGTTCTTAGACACATGTTTATAGATGTATAAGAGTAGAACATTTTGAATATGATGCCTCGGGTTAATGAAAACTTTTTTTTTTTCAACGCCACCTGTATATTTGTTGCCTCGGGTTAATGAAAAGTTTTTTTTTTTCAACGCCACCTGTATATTTGTTGCCTCGGGTTAATGAAAACTTTTTTTTTTCAACGCCACCTTATATTTGTTGCCTCGGGTTAATGAAAACTTTTTTTTTACAACGCCACCTGTATATTTGTTGCCTCGGGTTAATGATTTAGTTAATTTGTTTATTGTTTTTTTTTTTGTTTGGATAGATATGGATCGAATGAAGCTTTTATTGATCTTATTGTTAGAGATGTCTTATTTGGAGACAATTTGTATTTGTACGATTCTTGTGGTGATGATGCTACGTGGCAAACAGAGACATGTTGAACGACCCACATTGACTAACCGTTCACTTATTAGACGAGAGATTAGTTTGTGTTATCTGAATGGTATAATAGGGAATACTGATACTGAATGTGTTAACGAATTGAGAATGGATAGAAGGACTTTTGGCATATTATGCGACTTACTTCGTCAAGATGGGAGGGTAAAAACTGATGGTTTGGTGTCTGTAGAGGAACAGGTGTGTATGACTTTACAAATATTAGCACATCATACTAAGAATCGTAGTGTTGGCGGTAGATTTTATAGGTCGGGAGAGACTATAAGTAGGTATTTCAATAGCGTATTGCAAGGAATTTTGCGATTACAAGGTACCCTACTAAAAGTCCCCCAGCCTGTGCCTATTGATTCTACAGATGCTAGGTGGCGATATTTTAAGGTATGATGAGAAATTTTTTTCATTTTCCCTAAGCTTTAACTCTTCATTCCCTTTGTATAAATTAACAAAAAGTTTATTATTTTTGGTTTTTAAGAATTGCTTGGGAGCATTGGATGGAACACACATTGATGTGCATGTACCTGAAATTGACAAACCAAGATACCGAACAAGAAAGGGTCGAGTCGCAACTAATGTGTTAGGTGTGTGTTCAGGAGATATGCAGTTCATATATGTGTTTCCGGGGTGGGAGGGTTCCGCATCAGACTCTAGAGTGCTACATGATGCGATTAGTAGGCCTAATGGTTTTAAGGTACCAGCGGGTAAGACTATTACTTAGTCTCAACTTTGTAAGTTAGGTTTAGTTCTGTTTGTCAACTACAAAACACTAATAAGGTCTGTTTTTTTTTTCATTAGGTTGTTATTACCTTGTAGATGGTGGTTATACAAATGGTGAAGGATTCCTTGCACCCTATAGAGGGAATATCTTATCATTTATCTGAATGGGAGGGACGAACACCTTCTAATAAGGAAGAATATTTTAACATGAAGCATTCTAAGGCAAGGAATGTAATTGAACGCTGTTTTGGCTTGCTAAAAGGAAGGTGGTCGATACTAAGGAGTCCATCTTTCTATCCGATAAGGACACAAGGTCGAATAATTACCGCTTGTTGCCTACTACACAATCTTATTAGGCAAGAGATGTCAGTAGATCCAATGGAGAATTTGCCAATAATAGAAGATGGACAAAATACAGAAGAAGGTGAATATGTTGGTAGTGTTCAAACATCGGACCAGTGGACTGCAATGAGGAATGATATGGCTCAGGAAATGTATAATGAGTGGAGAGCAATTAGGAACCAGCAACCGAACTAGCTATATGTTTTAATGATAACATTTTATTTTAGTATTCCTTTTTATCATGCATTTGTTAGATATTAGCACAATGATTGGATGGTATGCAAATTAATTGGATATTATGCAAGTTGATTGGATATTATGCAAGTTGATTGGATATTATGCAAATTGATTATTTGTATGGTATTTTCCTTCATTAAAATATTTTTTTGTTTAGGTATGGATAACGATAATATTTTGAATGCTACTCAAGAGCCAAAAGGAAGAAGGCGTAAATGGGAAGCATTTGAGGAAGAAGTATTACTAGGAGTTCTTGAGGATTTTGTTGCTCGGAAGCAACGGTGTGACACCGGTGCTTTCAAACAAGGTACTTTGGTTGAAATAGCAAAAGCTGTCAATGTTTTATGTCCTCATTCAAATATAAAGGCAAATCCACATATTGAGTCCAAGTTGAAGAAATGGAAAAAAAACATATAGTATGGTCGTTGACATGATAAACACAAGTGGATTTGCATGGAATGATGTCAAAAAGTGCGTTGAAGTTGACAGTGATGACGCATGGCAAACTTATGTGCAGGTTCATATCCTATTTTATTTATGCATTAGTTATATTCTTGCTCCTATATTTGTTACGCATGCTAAATTTTAGTTTTGCTATGTTGATATAATCTTAGAGAAAATAAAGAAGCCGATGGATGGAGAAGCAAACCTTTTCCACTGTTTGATAGATTTGCATATATATTTGGAAAAGATCGGGCTACGGGTAATGTAGCCGAAACCCCTGCTCAAATGGTGAAGGAACAAAGTCATGATCATGTTGGTGAAAGTGATATTGGAGGTGAAAATTTTGTTTCTTCAATGAACCAACAAAGCCAACAAAGCACCCC